CCCATGATTATCAAGGTAGCTGAGACTCAGCTACCACCACTCAAAAATAAAACAAAATTCAAGGAATTTCGACTCCAGGAGACCAAGAGACAACGCACTCAAAACCCTGCTCTCACCACACCAGAAACTGGTGAGTCTACACACGGCTGAAAAATAAAAACTACAATTAAAATATAAACTCTTATATTATATTAAATTATTATGAATTATTATGCTTCTAAATTAAAAATTTATGAGCCTACAAATGATAAAAATATAAAAACTTTATATACTCTAAAAATCCTAATCCCACCTTAACAATCTAAGAAATATCTTTACAAATTACTATGACCCCTTAACTAAAGTTTAAATAAAATGAAGATTCAAGGATTTGAATCTACCTAAGAACAGTAGAGAATGTGAGACCTAAATTACAAGCCCTTGCTAAATGGCAAAGGGCCTAGGAGACAGTGTCCTGAACCCCTCCCATTATAGCCACAGCCCCGACCTTTGTTCCAGCCCTGGCCTAAGAATGTGGATCACTCTTGTATTGTTTGAAGTCCGGATCTGAATCTACCTATAAATTAGAGACTCCAGACATAGAACCCCAAATTAATTGACAAACTGTTTGCTCATCCGGAGTGTCTTGATGACCTTTGAGACATCCTATAGATAATACCTGTTACTCATCAATATGTGACTGCTGACCACCAACTCAAGTCAGCAGACCTTTGTCCCCTGTCTGTGAGCCCAAAATATTAACCCCCTCCTTTTACTCCCTATAAGAGGACCTCGGCCCCTGAGCTAGGCACCTCTCTGAACCAGCCACTTGGTTCTGAGAGTGCCGTCTGGCCAGACTAATAAAAGTCTTTTACCATCTAGCCTAGTGTGTTCCTTCCTGCATTTCTCGTTCTCCATCGAGCTCCTGGAGCCTCGCTGGGTGTTAGGGCCCAGCATCGTGGAGGCCTTTTTGGCTGTTCACGCTCCATGGAGTGGAAATGAGATTTTAGGTCTTACACTGGGTTCAAACTTGCGATCCTTCTGCAGGGGCATGACACTTAGCTTGAACAAAGTCTCTTCTACTTGGACAGGGCTTGAGGCCCTTAGCCCGCCCCCCAGCACAGGCTAAGTGACTGTAGACTTAGTCAGAGTGGGGAAGCAGGAGTCCTCCCCTCCTCAGGCCTCCAGGCTGTTCCCTGGTGACCTGAGGACCTGCACACACCTTCTGTTTCACCTGCTCCCCCCACCCCCATTGTTTCAGGGCATTCCTGGAATCCCAGCTCCTCTTTGCCTAAGGCTTTCTAAGGTCCCGACAGGGAGCCGGAAACCCTGGCACCCCTCTAAAATAGCTCCCAAAAGCGAGATGCCAGGGAAGTTTCCAGAGACCTCCCCCCACCTTGTTTGGTGGTAACTTCCTGTATGTGGAACCCACTTTCGGAAGTGCTGGCCACTTCTCCGAGCCAGGTCACTTTGGTCAGGGATTTTCCTTTCTTCTCTAGGCAGAGGTGGCCTCGCTCCTCCAGGGGCAGCCCAGCCTCAGTCCCAAGTCTGCTCCTCATCTCTGAGTGACACTGTTACCTTACAGTCTTGCCGTGTCTCTCAAGTTGTTCTCTGACTTACTGGCTTCTCTGGGGTCATCTCAGACTGTTCTGCTCTTCTGTTTTTCCTTCCCTGCTGCCTTTTTCTTTGTGCTCCCATCCCTGGCCTTTGAAGGCTGTCCCTTCCTGCCTCAGAGCCTGTAAGACATCCATGCTGATGGCTCTGTAGGAGCAGGGCCCTGGGTCTGGATGGAGGGATTTAGCTCAGCACTAGGATCAGCCCGGGGCACTGCCATCACTGCTGAAATCCTTCCACTGGCCAGATACCTTCCAGGGAAGTAAGTCCCACCTGTCCCTTTGGGGCCCTGGACAGTGACGGAGCACCCCAGCAGGAAGGAAGGGGAAGCCCTGTACAGAAGCTTTCCCTCGTGACTCCCCATCTTGCCATCGTCGGCTTAAATTCAGATCCAGTCCAAGAGAAGCCTGTTTCTGGATTCCATCTGGAGCCCTGCCAGTTTGGAGGGTCTCAGGTGTGGTAACAGCCACACCAGAGCTTGGACTCAGGCTGACCCATGCTTAGCACTCAGCTCCCTTGCTGCTCCCTGGGCTTGGGCAAAGGATTCACTCTCTCAGCCTCT